TGGAAAAACCTCTCTCCATGGAACTGGTCCCTGGTGCCCAAAAGGTTGGGGACCTCTGATATAGTGTATCATGCAAATCAGAAGAATTTAAGCTGTTCACTGAGCAATTATTAACTGAAAGCTTGAATATGAAGTATGTTTCTTATTATGTTAGGAAGAAACTAATTCAACAAGTTATTTTTTTTCATATTTACTGGATACCTCAGAGTATGGTTAAAAATATATTATTAACTTTATTACATTAAAATGCAAAGGGACACTTTCTTATATTATATGGACTTGTGCTTCTGTTGCCTGAAAGCTATCAGGCTCTGCATGGAGCAAAATAAACTCATATTCAACCACTGAATTACCCTACATCAACAGGCATCAAAGTGCTGGGAAGAGGCATGGCCTCCTTAAGAGTTGATACATAATTTGGAGATCTTCTTAGATCAGGGGTTCCCAACTGGGGGTGCGAGATGATATTCCAGGGAGTGCAAAAATTTGAGTTTTTAAAATTATAGTGTATACACATAATTTGTTGCCGTTATTTTGAACTTTTTTAAGGGGTGCAAGAATATATCAGAAGCGTTCTAGGGGTGCAGGGTACAGAAAAGGTTGGGAGCCACTGTCTTAGATTGTTTTTACTGCTTAAGCAAATGTGAAGGATTGTTTCTGAGTTTTGGCTGAGGCAACTTTGCTCAATTTTGACCAGTATATCTCAGGGTACTTTAATGATGATTATTGTAATGTGTTCCATATGGGGCAGCCTTTCAAGACAATCTGGAAACTGTAACTACAAAGACGGCACTTAGGACTGGAACTTTCCTTGGTAAGTAATGCAGTTGTTAAGTGAACTGTGCCAAATTCTACAACCTTTTTTTGCCAAAGTTGTTCAACAACCCACCACAATGAATCATGCAGTTGTTAAGCAAATCCAGCTTCTCCCACTGCCTTTGCTTGGCAGAAGATCCGTGGGAAGGTCAAAAATGGTGATCATCTGATCCTGGGATACTGCAACCGTCGTAAATATATGCTGGTTGCCGAGTGCCCAAATTCTGATCACCTGACTTCAGGGATACTGTGATGGTTGCAAGTGCAAGTAAGTCACGTTTTTCACTGCTGTTGTAACTTCAAATGGTCATTAAACAAATGGCTGTAAATCGAGAACTACCTGCAATTCAGAATGCAACAGTGTGACTGTTAGCTGGTTAATCCAGCCATTGCACAGTAACGCTTCTTCTGAAGTCACAATTGTAACTATTAATGAGCTTCCAGAACAATTCTGAACTGCTGGAAGCAATCTCTAAAGCAGTGGTTCTCAACCTTTTTAATGCCGTGACCCCCACCAGTCGTAAGTCGAGGACTAAACCGGTCGTAAGTCGAGGACTAAACCGGTCATAAGTCGAGGACTACCCAACCGGTCGTAAGTCGAGGACTTTCCCTGCCGGGGAACGCCACGCATGCGTGGTTCCGCCCCCTGCGCCGGCTGAGGCGTAGCTGGCAAGCGGCAGAGACGGAGCAGGCCGACCACCAACTGGCCCAGCCCTAGGGAAGTAAGGCACCCGACGGAAAAGGGAAAAAAATGGCGGACAGCCTTGCTTGGCGACCCCCGTGAAATGGTCGATCGACCCCAAATGGGGTCGCGACCCATAGGTTGAGAACCGCTGCTCTAAAGTTCTGTATGGTGTTACCCCAGCTTAAACCAGGCACTGCCTTGTTAGAACTGCTCACTGGTGAAAATAACTTGGCAACACCCGTTAAGAATTCTGTCTCCAGCTGAAGTGAGAATATGGATAGGATGACAGGTCTTCTTCTGTGATGGCCCCCACACTTTTACCCCCAGAGGTCAGTGAAGCTTCTTCCCTCATACTTTCTAGATCCTTAAGAGCAATTTTATTTCACCAAACCTTCAACCCTAGTTAAGCTTAATTCACCCTGGGGAAGGGTTTATTTATTATTTAATTTCTTACTAATAGACTTGTGTACTAGTTGTTTTATATTCTTACAATACGAGTTATTATTATTGCTGCTTTTAGCATTTTAATGTGTTCTCAGGGCTTTTGTTTTTGAAGGGCTATGAAAACTGTTAAATAAATGAAGAAAATATTGTCTGGGTTTGGTTTGAAATATTAAATTTTGTAAGTATTATGTTAAAATCAATTTACTAAGATGTGAACATACCTTTGAATTATATACCCCAAATTTGGAGGAATTATATGAATAATGACGGACACTAGCCATAGGGAAGAGAGTAAAAAATATCACTCTTTAATGTTGAAAAGAGCACAACTCCAAATTTTCAATCTTGGATTACTAATAAGTATTTGCTTTCTATTTATCAGTTGGCTCTCTATTGACTTAATGGAAAGATTGATCAATATTATTTTGTATAGACAGGGTTTAATTATGTGTTTTAAAACTAGGTTAATGATTTCTTATTTGCAAGGCAATGTTCTTGTTATTTCTTCTATTTTTCTTTTCCCCATATATTTAAGAAAGACAATTTATTTTTTTAAAAATTGTCTGGTTTTTTCTTCTCAGCAAAATTACCAAATGTGTAATGGCTATAAACAGAAACACAGTAGGTGAAGCTCTCTCAAACATGGCATTTTCACAAAGACTTTAATTTGCTGGATTTCTGTTAGTTATTCAGCTAGTGAAGGCAAGCTCAAGCAGGACAAAATAAGCGAATAAGCTTGCTAACTGCTTTATCTTGCCTTTTTAATTCTGTGACCTCTGGATTGGTCATAGCAGCTGGAGAATTACAGGATTTGCTCCAACATACCTGGAGAGCATCAACTGAAGAACGCTGGTCTACTAATTCACAAAATATCTAAATCCTGATATGTAAAGGACAGATTGAATGAGAGAAGCATATGCAAATATGCACAAACCAAATAAAATGGTAAATACTGTTGTACCGCATTCATTTTCAGGACACCATTGGCTGATAATTCTTTTAAAACAGTTGTGATAAAGAGTTCTAATACACTAATCACAAACCTACCATAAAACATATCTTAAGATTAAAATAAAATCAAACCTTGAATAAGACTACAAACCTCAAATAAGGTCAGTCATAATAAAAGAAAATAATCCATAGGATCTAACTGTACCTTTATCCTTATGCACATTTATTCAAAAATAAGTCCTGCATTTACCAGAACATACAGCAAGTAGATGTAATTAAGACTGCAGCTACCCAGCACAAGTCTATACATTTTTATTTAAAAATAAGTAGTGCTGGGTCCAATGGGGTTTAGTCCCAGGAAAGCATATGTAGTGTTTCAGCTCCATGTTATTATGTTGTAGAATGAAGAAGCAAGCACATCATACAAATCTGGATTGATTCAAAAGGATAAAATCACACCACTAAAATATGTTAAGGATCCTTTTTCAATTTCTCAATCTCAGATAAACATGACAGTGTGGCATATATGCCTTTACAAGGTGAACAGCAAAAGGTACAAACATTGAGGAAAAATATCTCATTTTCATAGCAATGCAGGAGAATATTAAGGTTCTACGAAAAAGACTGCATATAGTTGCCATTACAGGAGTTTATGAAATATATAAACAAAAATATGTCCAAAAGCCTACTGATGGATAAGCACATATATATTATCTCAATAATGAGGGGCATCCCTCAAGGTTAGAGATTTATGCTACTTAACTGGTTTACTCCTTTGAATTTATTTATACCTAATTTTTAAGATCAGTAGAGGAAAGGGTTAAGCTAAGGTTTTTGTTAATTCTTTGTAATATGTTGAAGCTCATAAGATTTTTAAAGTGTCTGGAAAGCTTAACTTTCACTGGAGAAAGAGTGCTAAATTCATCTTCTCAATAAGCCTTGGAGAAAAATGAGAACGCACTAAATGAAGCTTCTAGTTACTTCTCAGGTACTTCATTGATCACCTCAGCAGTAAAATAAATGGCCAAACACTGTCACAGCCACCTCTACAAGAAATAGGTTTAAAAAAATGTAACAGTATCAGCATAACACTGAATAAAAAAGCAGTACTGGGCTGCACCATGATATGTTTAGATGCTGTTTTTAAGAAAGAGGTTAGGCCAAGGCACTTTCTGTCCCCTGGAGTGGCAAATGTCAGCAGGTACACTCTCTGCAAGTCAGCATGTCGTTAGTGGTAAATACGATCAAGATCCCAAGCAGATGGCACGAGGAAGAGGAGGAGGAAGGTGGTCCTCCAAGAAGCAGGAGATCAAGAAGGAGAACCAGCAGCGCCCTCTTCAGAAAAAAAAAAATACCCCTCAGGACCTCCTCCCCATTTGCCATGTGTAGTAGCAGCACCCTGTTGCGATTTGCCACTCCCCACATCTCTCCCTAACACGTAGAAATCCAAGCAACCGCGGGCACCTTCCACCCACAGAGCGAGCTTCGTCTCTACCACCTTTCCGAATAAACACACGCGTCATTCACCGCCTCGGCTTTCGACCGCAGGCAGGCGAAGTCGCCCCTCGCCTTGCCTCACGTCGCCATCCGAGGCACGACTCCCCGCAGCTCTTGCCTTCCTTCCCTCGCCCCAAAGCGAGTCGCAACGCCGCCGCCGCCGCCGCCGCCGCCTCCCTCACAAGTTGCAAGCGCTCGCCCGGGACTGCCCGGCTGTTGAATCTGGCGGCCGCCCCGTCCGTATCTCTCCCCTTTCTCTGTCGCATCAAGTTGGGAAAGGAGGGGAAGAGCGAGCCTGGTGGCTCCACAGAGGAAGCGGACGGGGGAGGGAGGGAGGGAGAGGGGGATTTTGTGGAAAGCGACTCTACCCCGTTCACACAGGTTAGATGACACGCAATGTGGCCGCGTGCACCTCCTCCGCCCAGCCAGGCCCGCTTTGCTCGCTAAGTCGCGGGGGGGGATCCGGGCGAGCTTTCCGCCCCTCGCGCTCGGCCGCCGGCTTCGGCGAACCTTGCGGGGCGATTTTCCTGCTTCCTCGGCTGCAAGGAGCCCTGGGCATCCCGCCCCATCCCCCCACGCAGACAGGGAGCCTCCGCCTTTTCCCTACCTTCCTCTCCGCGCCTTTGCGCCAAAGCCACGCGCGACGCACAGCAGCCGCAGCGGCGGCTCTGGCTGGGATGCGGATGGCGGGAGCGGCGGCGGCGGCGGCGGCAGCAACGCAGGGGCAGGCAGGAAACCTGGGAAGCCGCTTTCCCTTCAACCGCTAGTCCGGCCTGCCGCTCCACCATCTTCCTCCGCCTCTTCTCGCTCCTCCTCGGCTTAGCCCGGCAGCCATCCGCGACAGCGCCTCTTTCTGCCCCCGCCTCCCGCGCCTCCTTCAGCCCGCCTCCGAGGCTCCCCCGTGACTCCGGTGTGGCGACCAGGCCCCGCAGCTCGGCCGAGGGGCGCTTCGCTTAGACCGGCGCCAAGGAAACGGAGGAGCCTTGTCCTCCTCAGGCTGCGGAGGTGGCACTTATGGCCGCAAGAGGGAAAACATCTCCGACCCGCCGACCTCTCTTCGGGTGTTGAAATTGTCTTCGGGTCTTAATTGTAGCTTTTGTGTTGCAAGTCTCTATAGGTCTGATGAAGTAACGAGTTTCTCTCAGGAGGTGCAGAACCCAGTTCCGTATCTCTGAGTGTACATTAAGGTTACAGGTAGTCTTCAATTTACAGCCATTTGTTTAATGGCCGGGGGAAAAAATGACATCATTTTTTCACACAACCATTGCAGCATCCCCGTGATCACATCAAAATTCAGATGCTTGTTAAGAGAGGGTGAATGTGGTCCTGGGAGGCTGCTGAGCATCTTGGAATAGGAGGTTTTTATGTCTTTTTTTATTATTAATGTATGCCATAATTGTATATTTGTTTATTTAAAAAATTAATAAAAATTTGATTAAAAAAAAAATTCAGATGCTTGGCAACTGATTCAAATTTATGACGGTTGCATTGTCCCAGGGTCATGTGATCACCTTTTGTGAGCTTCTGACAAGCAAAATCAAATGGGGAAGCCAGATTCATTTAACACCATGTTACTAACTTAACAACTGCAGTGATTCACTTAACAACTGTGGCAAGAAAAGTCATAAAATGAGACAAAATTCACTTGACAACAATCTCACTTAGCAACATAAATGTTTGGGCTCACTTGTTGTAATTCAAAGACTACCTAGTATTGTGCTGTTGTAGCTTTGTAGTGCAAAATATGCTTTATACAAAGGAGTAACCTGGTGCCAGACCCTGGTATTTCCTCTGAATGAGCAGGCATCTTGACTTTTTTGCTGCTGTTCTCAATGGAAGTTTATTTAGATTATAGAACTGCTTTTATTTGCAAATTTGCAGTTCTATGTATTATTTATTTTTATCCCGTCGTTATTACTGTTTTTCCCCCTAGAAATAAGATGGCAAACATGCATAGTATTCTTCCTCCTATTTTCTCCACAACAACAGCAACCCTCTGAGGTGGATTGCGCTGAGAGAGATTGATTCAAGGTAACCCAGTTGGCTTCTATGCTAAAGGCAGGACTAGAACTTGCAGTCTCCTGGTTTCTAGCCTGGTACTGTGATACCTTAACCCAGTGGTGGAGAACTTATGGTACGGGTGCCAGAGGCGGCACTCAGAGCCCTCTCTGTGGGCACGCGCACCGTTGCCCCAGTCCTAGGCCTTCAGCTGGGTTTTATAAAACCTTTTCGCTTTAGGCCTCTGCCGCCATGTGCAAAAAAAAAAAGGTTCAATCAATCAGTCAATTTCAACTTCTCGCGGGGATAAAAAAGATCTTGCAAAGTTGGAATTGATTGATTGAACTTTTTAGTCCCACCCAGTCTGCCGTTACCACCACAGCCACGCCCACCAAATGGGCCACACCCAGCCAATGGGCCACACCCACCCGGCACCCAACGATGCATAAGTGGGTTTTGGGTTGCAGTTTGGGCACTCGGTCTCTAAAAGGTTCACCATCACTGCCTTAACCATTACAGCAAATTGGCTCTGTTGAATGTTGCTATCCTGATATCCTTATAGTATTTGGACCACATTCTGAAAGGTAAGTTACTCTAAGCCTCACTGGAAGAAAGATATGATATAAATCAGCAAAGACTTGTATCTAATTCAAGAAGTTAATAGAATAGAAAATAATGAGAAACATTTGTAACACTAAAAGAAAGGGCTCAGGTATTTTTTTTAACTCAGGCATCAGGCCTATACAATATTCCGATTCTCTTCTCCATTAATCTATTTCCATTCAGCAAGGAAAGATGGTCTTGAACAGACATGTCAAACTCGTGATGTCATATGACGTCGCGTGACATATCGGAACTTTTTCCCCATTGTTGTGACGCGTCTGGCCCACAGGCCTGCAGTTTGATACCCCTGGTCTTGAATGTGCATTTTGTTACCAAAATGGATCCTTTGAAGAAAATCATGGTGTGCAGTGAAGCTGGTATCATAAGCTAGAGATCTTCACAATTTGCAAAATTCGGAGCCCCTAAAATGATACATTTATATGTGCAATAAACAACCCCTTTCAAATAAAGCAAAAAGTTAGAGTTGGACAGGAAATAAAAATATCACGCTTAATAAATTTAATTATAGATCAAAATAAAATTCCAAACAATTTAATTTGTTTAAATTTTACAGTACTATATTGGAAATAAGTAAAAAAAAACAATAAAATTTATTTTTCACATTTCTGAACTGCCCATCTCTCTCAAAGAGGAAAACTTACTGTCATTTTCTAAAGGGAAGGGATATATTTGCCTAATTCTTGAAATCTTGATTTCATTTCCACTCTTCAAAGTTAGGAGAGAAAAGAAAATAGAAGGCTTTCCTTTGCTTAAACCAGCTTCTCTTAAATTGCTTTGGATTTGCTGTAGCTTGGAAAATACTGACTGTAAGTTGTTTTTGGCTGTCTTTCCTGAGCCACAGTTAAGACAACAGACAGCCCATATTTTTTCTACAATATTCCGGTCTGGTGCTTGATACTTGTAAATCTCTCTCTCTTCCTCTCTCCCTCTCTCTCCCTCTCCCTCTCCTCTTCTAGCTTGTATCTTTTCCTTTTCTATCCTGGAAACAGAGTGGAAATAACAATAGGGCAGATACTCAGAGTTTTGCACAGAAGTCTTGTGCCCTCCAGGCATGTTTAATCCTCCTTTGACAGGCATAATCTGTGTTGTTGGTAGTGTTTTTTAAGAAAAACAAAAATAACAGGTTTCATTGAGTGCCAGGAACCCTTGAAAACCAGCTAAGTGACTTTGGGCCAGTCATTCTCTCTCAATCCAACAACCTCACAAGTTTGTTGTGGGGAAAAATAGGAGGAGGAAAGAGTATTAGGTATGTCCGCTGCCTTGAGTTACAGATAGTCCTCGATTTACAACAGTTCATTTAGTGACCGTTCAAAGTTACAACGGCACTGAAAAAAGTGACTTATGACTGTTTTTCACACAACCATTGCAGCATCACCATGGTCATGTGATCAACATTCAGATGCTTAGCAACTGGCTCATATTTATGACAGCTGCCGTGTCCCAGGGTCATGTGAATACCTTTTGTGATCTTCTGGCAGGCAAAGTCAATGGGGAAGCCAGATTCACTTAACAACCATGTTACTAACTTAACCACTGCAGTGATTTACTTAACAACTGTGGCAAGAAAAGTTGTAAAATGAGGCAAATTCACTTAACAAATGTTTCATTTAGCAACATTTTGGGCTCAATTGTGGTCATTAAGTTGAAGACTACTTGTACTTATAAAAACAATAAAGGCGGGATGTAGAGTTACCTTTGGCAAGATAGGTGACATACACATTTAGTAATAAAAAGATAAATAAATAAGTTGATTGAGTGAATAAGGTAAACAATAAACAGTCAATAATACAAGACTTCAACAATTATAGCAGGGAGGTGTACAAACCAAAGAAGCACCTTTGCCCCTTTTTGCTTATTATCTACAGAAGCCACAGGAGGAGATGCTGAGACCCCAGTGTGGCCTAGAAAGGGTAAGGAGATCCCTCTTTCGGCTCTTTCTCTGCCTTCCCTTAGCAATGCATACATTTATTCCATTGCAATCTCTCTTTGGGCAGCTACAGTAATGAGGATTGCACCTAGTGCATAAAATATTTCCTGCTGTGCTGCTCAGAGAGAGTAAGAAGAGGAAGCAGCACGTAGCAACCATCAATTCTGTCTTTCTGGAAAGCAGCACGAAGGCTGGGTTCAGCAGCAGTGGTGTTGCTAGGATTTCCTAGCACAAGGCCAGGATGCAGCAGCATGGAAGCCTTAAATTCAGGTACCATGTGGTTTTGCCTTTAGAATTTCTTTGTTAAAGAGTTTCTCTTCTGTGGGGAATTAGATAGTAGGAAGTCAAGAGGGCACAAAGAGGGAACCAGGGAGGAGAAATGGAAACAAAGGTGGGGAAAAGATCAACCTGCAGAGTGTACAGCACTTTGACCCAAAAGCACCTCTGACCAGGAAAATGCCACTGCTTAACAGGGAAAAAGAAAGAAAAAGCACATGCGGCTCTTTTGATTTATTTACTGACATATGCTATACTGGGTTTATTCATTAAAGTGTTTGTATTACTTATTTTATGTATTATCTGAAAATGCCTTAAATCCATTAGGATTGAGATACTAGATAAATTGTACAAATAAATGCATAAAATTCTCACTGAAGTCTATCAATTCTTTAGGCCCTTAAAATACCTAAGTGTATTTCATTTACTTTATCATTTTCAGAACTAGACGATTTTCATAGGAGCATACACGCATTAAAATGTATTTACAGGTAGGCTTCAGTTAACAATCATTTGTTCAACAACCATTAAGAATTGTAACACTGCTGAATATTGTAAGGCAGGGCTGTCAAACTGCGTCACACCAAAACCGCACCCACCCCATTGCTGGCAATGGGGAAAAAGTCGCAATACATTGTGTCATGTGATGTGAGTTTGACACCCGTGTTGTAAGGAGACTTACAGCCAGGACTAAAAACTGCAGCTATTCCAGCATTCCCGCAATCAAATCAATTTGGAATTTTGGCAAATGGTTCACAGTTACAA